TGATATTGACCAAATGTTTGGTGGCGACATACAAATATTTAGTGCTTAGGCCTCTCCCTCGCGTACGGAAAACAACCTCCTTAGAGAGTTTAAGTGAACTCCTGGTCCGTATCACAAGATCTATCCACATAAAACCCACTAAAAAGATCATAAAACAGACGAAACGACAGAGAAAGTACTCAAAAGCATATTGAATACAAAGACAGTAAGCTCAGTCTCAGTACTCGTGAGCTCTTTCGCGCGTTCGCTACGGTCACATCACCCGTTATCCTTTGCAGCCATCTCCGCACACTTCACGTCAGTCTCTGTCCTGGCCAAGGATCGGTGCTGGTGGTCATATCTGTCGCTCATTTATATATGCAACCTATTCACGCAATATCCACGTGATTATCAGCTTCCGTCCGGATGCAGTGCACCGGCTAAGCTCTACGTCCAAGAGGAGTAGACCTTTGGAGCAGTCGAGGCGGGGCGCTCTGGACTCGAACCGGGGAGTTGAACGCTCGTTAGCTACTCACCGCTCGATAAACGGACTCAAACCGAGTCTGCTCGTGGGACTTGAACCCACTCTCCCACGCCTCCTGGGGGCTTTGAATACTTCGGCTAGCGAGGCAACGTCTGCTTGACACACGGGTTGTCTGCTTTCAGCCCCGCACAGACCATACAGTGGCCTACTCGTTTATCCGCAAATTAACTACTGATCCTGTCCTACATGTGCGCTGCGTGCCTGCTGCTCACGAGTCGCTTGACCTTCCTCCAGCAACCCAATCCTAGATCATAAGACGCCCTGCAGTATTCATGACTCTTCCGACTGGCTTGGTTGCCCGTTGGGAAATGGTGCCTCGTGGTGCCCGTAACCGCCACGGCATCACCTCTTCTCGTTCGTCGGTTCACAGGGCTCGGGGCGTCCATGATATTTACTCTGCTTACTAGACCAAGTCAAAAACACGAATGTGATTGGCTGAAAAGTAATGATTATGAATTGCACAACTATGCCTGGCGGACTTTTGTGTGGATGATAAAGTGGCCTTCTAATTGATGTTTTTGTGCTTTTTCCTATAGAAGCCTTGTACCATGCAATACGCGACTTGATGTAGTTACTTAGCACTTGTGGTCGAATCTGGTCGTGCGGCGCGTCTATCGGACTTTGTGTTGGCCCGATTTCTGCGTCGTTGTCTGTAACAGATAGTAATGAAACAGTTCAGATAAACCTGTCTAGGATGAGTGTGTATATCGTGATATCCTATCGTACTTGATATCATTTGACTGTCTAACTTTAAATTTGATACAATGTCATGATAGAAAAAGAAAAAGAGTTAAATTTGGCCAAATCGAGGTTATAACCTACCGGTAGCTTGAATCCGTGGTACTTCTTTGGTAGAATGCCACTGGAAGTACTGTCGCCTGATTACGGCAAGAGATCAAGCTCGGGCTCTGTTGAAGGCCATTGGGACGATGTCAAGCTTCGATATAACCAATGCGAGCGTGGGGAGCCTGCCGCAGTGCCTATCAGCAGGAGGAAGGTGTCTCCATCCGATCGGTTAGGTTTGACACACGCTGCAAGTTGAGCAAGGGGGCGTTGGCACGCGGCCAACAATCGCATGATGCACAGGCTGGACGACACAGAAGGTAGTCGTAGTGCTTACGTGTTAGTTTCTCTCAGTAATAAACGTTCCTTTTGGAAATGCGAAAAGTACGCGGCAAAACTTTCGCTAGAAATGCTGGTTATAGATTAATTAACGTGAGCCGATAAACGTCCTTCAAAAGACGCTACATGTATAAAAAAAATTCACTTGTTGCAGAGTGGACTTCGGCCACAGTTCGGCTCATGAACGATGTTCCAATTCTCAAAAGATAAATATCGGTAGCTGTGCTAAGGTAAATGGCCAGTATAAGTCAATGGGCCAAATCAAGGCGCACCAATAGCAGTTGAATACGCAGTTGATTGGTTATATTTAGACACGTGCGCCGATCCACTTATACCTCTCAGTTTTGATCTAAGTTGCCAAGTATGAAGCATCGCGCGTACAGCAGCAAAGAGAAGATGGCCTACGTGAAATCCGAGAAGGGGGCGATATCGACGATATCAGCGAGAAGAACGGTGGTCCTGCCCACAACTTGTTCCGATGGGTTGGAGAAGACACAAAATGACGCGAAGAGGGGAATGAAGCCCCTCACACCTTTAGAAACGGCGCGGTCCTTACCCGCTCTGTCAAAAGGAAGATGAAACCAGTATTCACGATTGGGTCGTAAGTCAGCAGGTTGAAGGAGCTCTTGTTGGAAGGAAGGACATCGTCAGAAAGCCAGCCAAAATTCAAAGCTGGTTATTGATCAACCAGTAGGTGAATGTTGGTATCTACGGTTTTAGAACTCGCTTTCCTGACTTAAGCTATTGGGTCTCTCAGTCGGTGTCGAAGGTGCGCAATTACGTGACGAAAATGGAAGTGGCTACCTTTTTGGGGTCTTTGACTAAGGTTATCGTGGAAGAGAACATGGATGCTGTCTATCCCACTTTGCCGAAGGGATCGTCGAGACCGCCGACCGGATGCTTGTCAAACTGGTTTACCTCCCCGCAAACGGCACACACTTACTACAACTATTGGACGTTGCGGCGTTCTCTTCATTTAATAGCACACTCCACGATCTCATCGGCGCTGTCATTCGTCCGTAAAGAAGGCCACGTGGTTGCACTATAAGAAGACAGTGCAGCACGATATCCTACTTCTACCTGCTCGTCAACGCAGGCAGGAAAAAATTAAAGAAAACTAAGACAGTAGCAGGTAGATTGTTAACTCGCGAGATGCTACGGCAACCTGACGAGCCTTCTCAAGTCAAGACTCCGAAACGAACTCGAAAACCAGCGAAGAGTAAAAGACCTACAAAAACAACATGAGATCATCATCAGGAGCAGGAGTGCCAGCAAGAGCATGATATCCACCTAGAGCAGGAACACGAACAAGAGCAGGTCCTCGGTCAGGAAGAGCGGCAAGCAGAGGTACCGACGACACAAAGCAGCCACAACGATCCGGTTGTGTTTGTTGCAAACTTCTAGGCACTTAATCATTTTTATTAAGTTGATCCTTCACAATATTATCATTGTACAAAGTGTAAAATCGGAATTTACAGAAATTCAAGTGTACTTGCAAGAACGCACATAAACAGACTCTATCCATACTCAAACCAAGTCTAGTTTTGGCTTAAACTGGAACAGCACCAATTAAACGGTAGTTTCAAACCGCCACCGTCAACAACAAAAATACCCATTCACTTGCTACGCTTGCCACTAGAAAATTGAAATCCTAATGCAAACACATAAGTCTGTATAGTGTTCAATTTCGGCGTCTGTAAAAAAGTATGTTTTCTCAAACTTGACCGTCTTTCTGTGACTTAACTCCTCCAGTCCGGATGTTGTATTCTCCAAATTAGTGATTCTCTTATGTTGTCTAAT